TTTGGAGAATTTCTGTCCACTTGTATTTTTCTCGATTCGTGTATGAACTTTTATGATTGATGAGGAAACTATTGAGCTCAGCTGAGGAAAACAAGTACATACTTTGCAGCAGTGAGGTTGGTTGTGCACGAACTTGATGCTGTCTCCTTTTTATCTCGAGTCGGCCCCTCATCGTTTAGAAGAGTTATTTCATCTCATGTTGTCAGAACGTTCGGCGACCGTCTCGGGAGACCCAAATGTAGAAGCAGTGAATGTGTCTTTGGGGTCTTGTGTTGAGCTTGTAGTACGCTCCCAGACGAATCGGTCCGTGGAGCTCTGCCACCTGGACCTGCCGCGCCGCCGCACATTCTCTTGGGACGTGTGATCCCATCGTGCTAAACCATGTCGCTTATTATTATCAATTTCGCTATAGTCGTATTATAACTTGTCTTTTGCTGCTAGCTTGCTATAACCACTGCTGTCTCAAAGAACTTCAATTTTTTATTATCTAAGATTGACCCGGTTACAAGGTTGGCTTTGTGAGCTTTCCTGTCTGGCTTGAATATAATGGTCACATGTGCGCTCGGTCGCATCAGTTTGGAGTTTCCTATCACTGTACTGTTTCACGGTCTTGATTCCGATTGTTGTGTTAGTCGTGAGAAGCGGCGGATTTCGTCTCCACTCTGAAACTTGGCAGTGACTAACAACACCAAAAATACCACAAGTGCGTCCCGTGAGTGATAAATAAACGACCCTGGTGCGCAATCCTAGAAACTAAAGTGCTTCAAGCAGGCGATTGCGGTATAGGTGCGTTACTAGGGTAACAATGAAGGAAAACTCATGAAGACATATATGGCTTTAAGCAGGACAAAAACTCGATAGATGTATGAGATTTGCTGCTTGCCGCGCGCTTGTGGTCCTTTCGGTCTCTTTATGAGATGCTATTCTAGTTGATAACTGAAGGTGTGCTTGAGATTGGTTCAGTCCGTACGTTGTTGAAAATGCTGGACATCGCTGGTATTCAGGAATGGATCACCAAGGATCTTTCTTCGATCGTGCTGATCCTATTCGTGGTGGTCCGAGTGTGGGCAGCACGAGAGAGTATCCAAGGTGTGAAACGGCCGAGATAAGTCTGAACGCATAATCTTGAGTGACTTGGCTGAGCTGTGCCGATAGATCCCTGGCAACAAAGTAGTCATCGTCGCGATCATGGAAGAATGGAATGAGCGGCAAGGGGAAGCTGAGAAGGGCAAGAAGTTACTTATTGTATTGTCGACTTTTCAGCAAATTGGCGTGGCGCGTGTCTTGTGGACTTGGAATGCATTGATCTTGGTAGTCAGTGACTACCAAGATCAATACATTTTCTTCGTATTACACTACTAGTCACATGATACAAATTGCGAACAGTGCAGAGATAATCACTGTGTAGATGCAAGGGCATCATCCTAAATGCTGGACTTATCGGGGAACGTCTCTTCAAGAGTAGTTAAAGAGTCCAAAAGCACCGGGAATTCCTCGTCATGGACTTGGAAGGATGATGATAATGCGGGAATAAATTCTGCAGCGCCAATCGCTGAGCCAGTGCGGCATTAGCAATGCCTACGTCCGTCGGGTCGAGTCAATCAGGATCAGTGTTCGACTGAGTGCCACGCGTAGAAGCGCCATGCCGTGACGCTACCAAGCTTCATCATTATGCTTGTCTTGCCGATATCATCGCTTCAATGGGATGTCGGATTTGGAGAAGAGCGGTGGAAGTATACGCAAA